TCTGATATACATAAATAGTAAATTTATAATAATGGAAAGCAAACCACGATTTGAGATGATGATAAATAACTTTCTATATCATTAGTGATCAACTTTCAGAAAATCACGTAAAAATGGTCTAATTATAAGGGTAAATTTGGGTTGCTATAACTTCTCCCATAATCACTTATTTCTCAAACAATGATCCAAAATGTGGTTGGTAAACACATTTCAAAAGTGATTATGGAATAATCTATTTCTTCTATAATCTATTTTATTGAAGGATTTCGAAAGTAAGTATTTTTAGCTTTTGAAATTCAAAATCAGCTTTTAGAAAAGTTAATTACCACAATGTCCCAAGAGTAAACATAGATTCTAATGTTATTAAATGTAAATTCTAATTTTTGTATAAATAGATTTTAATTTTAGATTAATAAAATAATAATAAATATTAAAAACACAAAATACGTAAACTAGTAGTGGCTAGTCACTGTTGTCAAAAGTTTTTTTCAATGACATTGCCTTGGAATCGTTGGTCTACATAGCCATTATCGTCGGAATTTTTTTTTTTTCAGTGACACCACCTGCAAATTGCTAGTCGGCAATCTACGCAATGGTGCCGACGGTTTGTTTAAAATAACTGGGCGATTTGTCGCAACAGTCCATGAATGTTTCGTCGAAACTCTCTAGCTTGTTGTGATGTAACACTAGCTTATTTGAACAATTTGTCGACATCATCGAGTAAATCGCTAACTAACAATCTCAATGAACCTGGTGGTGTCTTGTCACTGGCCATAAATTTTTTTCTGGCACTGGTGGCAGCCACCGCCTCTGGCACCGATTAGCGATTTTGCCGACTAGTTTTTGGATTAATTTTTTATTTTTTTTTATTTTTAAGAAATTAGATTAAATATGTTATAATAATAACACAAAATCTTATTTAAAAAAATACCCATTTTGGTCTTTTCGTATTGGTAACATCTCATTTCCTAAAATTAAAAGTAGTTTTAAAATAAACAAAACAAACACCTGAGATATTATTTCTGGAGTTAACCCATAAATGATCAAGTGAGAAGTTACAACAATACCAAACTAAGCCTAAAGATCTTTTGCATTGCAATATCTTCTTCTCCTAGGGTTTGGAAATAATTTTAGGAATATATATCAAGTGAAAATGGCGATTGCCTAAGAACATTCTAGTGAAAATCATGAGAAAGGCCTTATATCTTCAACTAGGGTTTGGACATATCTTTTGGTTTCATACATTCAAGTCTATTCAAATTTCGTTCCTATTGCAATCTATCATTAAATTCTAGAAAACCTTTTTCAATTTAAAAACATAAGTTGGGATCATATAAAATATACCTATTAAATTCTTTATCCAGAAAGTAACAAGGCTTTCAAAAGAGTTATATGTTCACAACGAGAATCTACGATCTTTATTACTAAAACCTTTTTATGGGTTGATTTAATATATCTTTTAAGAGATCAATTATTTATTATTATTGAAAAAAAAAATGTTTTCAAAAAAGCTATTGTTAGTACCAAACCTAATAAACATTTTATGGGTACTGTAGTCATTTTACAATAATTAGTTTTTATTTCTCTCTTTTATCCCCTTTCCTTCTTCTCTATAAACCAAGCTAACACATAAAGTCGCGCGTTGTTGATGACTGTGTCGGTATGGCGTGGTTGGTTGCAGTGTAGCAAGCCTCCTCATGCGACAACTGTGGCTACATCGCTATAAGTGATGTTTTCAGGGACACTCGACATTTCATCTGTGCTTTGGTGGACTATTAGTAATTGATACTTATTCATTTGTTTGGATGCCTTGCAGGTTGATTTTGTGATTTATATATTTGATTATTTGTTCATTTAATAATTATTAAATCAAGAAATTTTGTGTATGATTAACTGCCTGGAGGATATGAAGAAATCAAAATAGTTTTTTCTTTTCAAGAAAATGGTATGAAAGGAATAAAATAAAAATTATCTGAAAGTTAGGTTAAATCCTTTTTACATTTTTTTCCCGCGCTCCTAACAAACATGGATGAAAAAACAAGACCACGTTGTTTGTTAATGAGGATGGGTTCTTGCAAGTGATCTACTTTGTCTTACTTCTGTTGCCATCTTATTAGTTTAATAATTAATTGTTTACATTACAAAAACCAAGATTAGAATCCAATTTAATAATAGTTATAATTACTTGGAATCATGTTAATAATATAAATTCATAGATAAAAAAAAAAGGCAACAATTATAAGCCATACTTAAATGTGTATAGCTAGCCACGTGCTTTGGGTATTCCTAATATATAGTTTGGGTGAGGGTTTGAAGCAAGGACCGACCACCACGTTTCCTAATATTCAACCAAAAATTCTCACTTATCATTTGTAGGTGAACATGCCCTACGATCGATGTGCCCACTTGCTTCTCCAACAATTTGTATTCCTTCTTCTAGTTTAATCTACATTATGATAATTATCAACTCATTTTATAGTTAAATCATTATTTTTTTGTTCATAATTTAATTATATGTAGAAATTGTTATACCATTAGAATTAACCATTTACAAGATGTGGGATAAACTCAAAATTAAGGTTACAAAAGTTATCTAAAGAAGATTTTAATATTAAAAGGCCAGAAAATATTATTAAAACAGTAAGGAGGGTAACATAATATGGTAGGGGTTATTTTATTTGATTTTGTGAGATAACTTATATATAAAACTCATCCACTTCTTTTAAAAAGTTATCTCACTGTCAATGGTTTTTTTCATGATAATTTTGTAAGGACTGTTTGATATTCTGTAGGGGGTTTAATTTTGATATTATATTAAAACAGCTAATTAATATGCTCTTCATACGGTCGAGACAGTTTGGGTGTAGTCAGTAGTATAACAACTTAAACAATAGATGATTTGACTGGGGACAACTCCATTACTGTATTTCACCGGAACCAAGTAGGATTCTGAACGTTATTTAATTGTTAGCAGAAATAATACTAAATGTAAGTGGGAACCAGAAAGTTAAAGCATTAATTTAAAAGAGAAAAGGGCACCATGTCCCAACATAGAGGGTTTACATAATATATATTAGTCGGATGACAATATAATCAACCATTAATTACTGCTACCGAACGTGAGATTATACCTTTTCTATCTTCTTTCTTCACCAACTCTTAACCTCCCTCTCTTATCTATTTCTTCAACTTTCCTCGGTAGTTAATGCGTTATATATGGAGTCACACCCACGAGATTCTATTAATGTGTAATAACGTTTAGTTAAATTAATGAAAATTTTAATATGCGTAATAATTGTCTTTATAATATTCAACTTCTTATTATTTCTTGTTTAAAATTATTTGTACCAATAATGAAATACAAATCTCACATGGGGATATTAGGCTGTGCTAATGTAGACATTGACCCTAGCAATGGAAATAATGTGCAGTAAACACTCCAAACGCCTCTATACTCGGGAGTGCCTGCAAGGCCGAGCTAGCTGGGCGCTCAACGGCAACCTTGTTGTTTTGAGCTTTAGTCACTTCAAAGGTGATTCTGACCACCCTTTTTATTCGTTAATGCTCGAAATCATTTTTAGGCATTAATAGTATTATATATACAAAATGCATTGTATAATATCACACAGTACTAATAAGTAACTGAGTTTATAGATGCATATGTTATATCAAAATCATAAATGATACAATTAGGAAAATGGTTAGGGTTATCAAGGCATTAATTGAAATGGTTGAAATAATGTCACTATAGGAATATGCCTAATCTTATACCTAACTCAATGCAATTGGTGAAGAGTGAGAGCAGAGGTAACCCTGTTCCAAGTGGAAGAACACAACATAACATGCGCCAGGGTGTAAGTCCACCACTAAATCTCACTGGCTAATGATGGTGGGTCCAATGCCACCAGTCTTTTACTAAGCCCTCCGTGTCGTTTTCCGTAACTGCATGTGCGCATGTTAGCCGATACCGGAGAATGATCCCCAACTGCCGGAGTGAAGAACGGTGTGTGGACCAATCTACCCCTACCAGCTTGCCAAACCTGGAGCTTAATCAACCAGGCCAAATGGCATGTTGCATCTGTTATCATTGAAAAGAAAGACTCGGACTATTTCTATTTTTGGAGAAAAAATAGTTGTAAATAAACCTAAGTCCTAACAAGAGGTCAGCGAAGCACATGGTAAAGAGAAAAGAGTGAGGTGCATTATTATCTGCAACTGCTCTTTGTAGAACTCTCTCATCTGATCATTGTTTGAGTTGTCAATGGTAAATCTACCTCCAACAACTTAGAACAAATCTCATAAAAATACAATATGCATTCTACCAAATAATAAATTGTTGCATTTATAATATACATATTTTTAATTAAATGAATATATCAAGTCAATTCTACGTTTATCTAATTAAATTATTATATGAATGTGTTTATGCTTCTATTTGTCTACCCGATTTTCATTAATATATAAATAATGTAAATGAAAAGAATATCAATTATTAATTCATCAAATATAAATAATCTGAATTATGATAACATTTAATTCTTGGTTGAAATATTGAATGCACTAATTATGGTTAAATTTGTCACTGATCTTCAGAGTACAACTTAAACCAAAGATAAATAAATATGGACTACTAATACTGGAGTGGGGCAATCCATAATTAGAATTGATTAGAACAATAACAATTACTATTATTAATATTTCAAATAAATAAATAAAACAAAATCTCGTTGTCTTGTGAGAGACAAAGCAGTAGAGCTGAAATACACTTTTGTAGAACAGCTGGTTTTGTCGGCGTAGACTGAACTGAAACATACCCATTACCTCATTCTTTACTTAACTAAACTAACCATATAATTTCATAATCCTTACAAGAAATAACTACTCTTCTCTCTGCTCCACTCTCCGCACAATTTTCATTTTTTTATTTAAAAAGGAAAAAAAAAAGGTTAAAGAGAGTGAAGAGTGAAGTGAGTGATACGATAAAAGTAAGGAGGAAAAAATAAAAATAAAAAGAGAAATGAAAAGCATTGAATCGCATCGGAATTAAAAGACGAGAACCGGAAATGTTTTATTGACCGAAGAATCAAATGATTTGATCCATGATCAAAACGGTTACTTTTTTTTTTCACGCATTGGAAGATTTCACTTGAAGATCCGGTGATTATTGTGTGAGAAATTTGATTAGTTCGATTCTAGCAATGGAGTCTCGGATGGATCAGTACGAGATCATGGAGCAGATCGGTCGTGGCGCTTTTGGTGCGGCGATTCTCGTGAATCACAAGGCTGAGAAGAAGAAGTAAGTTGTAGAAGAAATGTTTTCTTTTGAAATTTTTGAAATGTGTGTGGTGGTGTAAGGTTTGTGTTTAATTGGATCTTTGATTGATTTCAGGTATGTATTGAAGAAGATTCGGTTAGCGAGACAAACGGAGCGTTGCAGGAGATCGGCTCATCAAGAGGTTGGTGTAACGTAGGTTGTATTTGTATTTTCTTATATTTCTTGATTTATCGTCGTTTTGATGGATTGTTAATTGAAATGTAGATGGCTCTTATTGCGCGAATTCAACACCCTTACATTGTTGAGTTTAAAGAAGCTTGGGTTGAGAAAGTAAGTCAATAGTGTTGGTTTCGTTCGGTTTTCATTTTGAGTAGAATTATAAAATAAAAAGATTTATGTATGTGTAATCGTAGGGTTGCTATGTTTGCATTGTCACTGGATACTGTGAAGGTGGAGACATGTGAGTTACATACTAATATAAAATCTTGTTTTCTTTCGATTGTTTTCTTTCGTGCAATAAGTTCATGTTGTTCTTGAATAATCCTGCAACAGGGCTGAGTTGATGAAAAAATCAAATGGAGTCTATTTCCCTGAGGAGGTGCTTTCATTGTTTATTTATTTATTTTTATTTGGGATGATTTTATATAAATTTAAGTACTTTTTTTTCCCTGGTGTGAACTTAAGGTTTACTATATGTTTGTGCACATTGTGCAGAAACTATGCAAGTGGTTTACACAACTACTGTTAGCAGTCGAATACCTACATTCGAATTTTGTTCTTCATCGTGACTTAAAGGTATGTGTATGAATGTTTAGATTATTTGTTTATCTTTTATCTTTATTTTCATTCAAAGATTTTATGGTCTGATATATATAGTTCTCTATCCCCACAGTGTTCCAACATTTTTCTTACCAAAGATCAAGATGTTCGACTTGGTGAGTCTTCTTTTGTGTTAATTGGGTGAAAATTGGGTCCTTAACTTGATATGTTTGATTTGTTATAATGCTGAGTTTGTTCTTTTTTGGTTTGTGTTTTAGGTGATTTTGGACTTGCCAAGACTTTGAAGGCAGATGACTTGGCATCTTCAGTATGTGCTATATGAGAATTGTTCTCCTTTTTGTAATATTTATTACTGTTAGAAAGTTGGAGTTCATTCATGTTTACTCTTCCGAGTTATTTTTTCTTTCAGCTGGGAATGATAGTTTCATATAAAAATTAGAAAGTATCCTGTCATTTTATACTCTGTGATTCACCTATGAACAATAAAACAAGTTTATTTTAAATGAGTTAATAACTTGCAGAATCTTTTGCAAATTGAACAATTAATATTTGCATTGCATTGCTATATTAATGTTTTCTTATTTTTGATACAGGTGGTTGGAACTCCCAATTACATGTGTCCTGAACTGCTTGCTGATATTCCTTACGGTTTCAAATCTGATATTTGGTCTCTGGGTATGTATTTTCTAGAGTTTCTTTGTGATTTTTGGCTTTGTTCTATGGCTTAAGTGATTCATTGTTGAGCAGGGTGCTGCATGTATGAGATGGCTGCTCATCGCCCTGCTTTCAAAGCTTTTGTAAGATTTCTCTTGGTTCTTTTACTTGATAGCCATACATCCTCGTCTTTACAATTTGTTAATAATGTGAAAATACTCTTATCATGTTGAAAACTAATTGGAAAAGTATTCAGTGAATTTTTATGCTTGTATTCTGCTTACCTCTAATGTTGTGTGGCATATTAATATGCTCTTTGCAAAGGCTTTCTGTAGTTGGTTGCTTTTTAAAGCCTTTATTGATAATATAAATAATTCTATTAAATTAACCTGATTTTCATTCTACTTCTCTGTTCAGGATATGGCAGGGTTGATAAGCAAGATAAACCGTTCCTCAATTGGCCCTTTACCTTCATGCTATTCGCCATCACTGTAAGTTTTCATGTGCTGTCTGTGTATCATTCTTGCATGTATACATAATACTTATAATATTCATGGGATTTTATTATTATAGTAAATGCTCTAACTTGGTGGTTGCTGGGCATTTGATTTTATGAGACTAGGTGGTGATGGTAGACTGTGGGGTCATGCAGCATGTGTGCTTGTGTCTGGGTGTTGATTTTATTTTTCACTGGGCTAGGGGAGGGGAGGGGTTATTATTAATTTGGAAGCAAGACTCATTCTTTTTCATGTAGTTGCCTCATCACCTGGTGTTGATAATCAATACTTAACAGCATGATAAATATGTTAATTGATTGATTTTACATAAACAGGAAAACTCTTATCAAAGGTATGTTGAGAAAGAACCCCGAGCATCGGCCAAGTGTAAGCATTCTCTGACACGCTGGGTCAACTTTAAGATAAGCTGGATTTCATCTTAATAGTTTAAATTTAAACTTTGGTCAGGCATCAGAAATTTTAAAGCACCCATACCTGCAGCATTATGTTGATCAATACCGTCCATCTTTTAGTCCTCCAGCAACGTCCTCCTCAGAGAAGCCTATTACAACTGCTCGTGAATCTAGGAAGAATATGGCTGAAAGCCAGAACAGTAATAGTTCAAGTAGTGATAAAGACAGTCTTCTTTCAAGTGATAGAAACACCGCAACAATTGTGTCCAACAGTGAAAGTAAAGCCACTGACACAGATTTAATTTCCATTGATGACGATGATGACTCTGAGCAGCCTCCACCAAGCGAAGAAGAACATGGCTCTGATGTTTGCATTGTCAAGATGGACGAAAGAAGGGTGATGAAACCCTCTCTTGGTGAACAGGGATCCAATGTCGAATCTAAGCAGCCAAAAACCATTAGAAGTATAATGATGGCTTTGAAAGAAGGCAAAGCTAGAGAAAATGGTTCCCCAATGAGAGGCAATCGCATAAAGGCTGTAGGTGTGCCAACCCAAAGAAGTAACACAGAAGCTTCACCCAAAGTCCTGAAACCCAGTGCTGTTGCTCCTGGTTTGAAGTCTAATGCAGATACACCAGTGGTTGCACAAGCAAAATTAGTAGTTGATTCTGCGAAACGGATGCCAGGATCAAATCCCTTAAAACATCAGGTATATCATTAGTTTGTGTTTCCTATCCTATTTCAATATTATTTTGACATGTTTACTGATTTAGTCGCGCCAACCCACCCCCACACCCCCCACCCCCCGCGAAAACAATGATTCATCTCTACAGTTACCTGTTATTGACTCCTCTCCCAAGACAAAACCTAGACATGAAGGGGTTCCTCCTCCTGTTCCAGTGAAACATGTTGAAGATGGACTCCCTGCTAAGCCGAGGCAAAGGACTCCTCCTTCCAATACTGTGAGACGAACTTCATTTCTTGGAAGGATGAGGCAAGTTGGAATTGACTCTCCAAACACAGTGAACAACACCGTGAAACTGGCTCCAAATGTGATAAATCAGGAGCCTGAGAGTATTCCTCATCAAGTTCCCAATGGTCGCTTAACTCATGTTTATAGGGAGAGCTCACATGAGTCCAAGAAGGCTGTTGTTGGACCTTCCAAAGCAATGCAAACTGATAGCAGCAATTCTGTCTCGTCATCAGTGTCAATTCATGCATTTGAGCTTTGTGATGATGCCACAACTCCTTTTATTGACATGGCAGAACAGATAGACGCTGATCATGTTACAGTAACCCACTCAGATGCCTTAGAATCACATCCACGCAGCTGCTCACCTACTTCTTTGCTATCTGAGATGCCTGGAAATATGTCTGGGCAAAACCATGAATATGATCATAAAACTGTTACATGCTCGGATGAAATCTCGGGGGCTGTCTCAGATCTTCAGAATACAGTTACTGATGGGCAAGTGAGCTCAAATGCAGCCATTCAGAGTTCTGAAGAAATCTTTGATTGTAATGAGGAAACCCCTTTAAACAGGCCTTGCAGTATGGATGATACACCTCTAAGCAGGCCTACTACTATTGATATTACCCCAATTGTCAGGCCTAGTTCTATTGATAATAGCACTATAAGCAGGCCTATTGATATTACCTCTATAATAAGGCCTAATACTGTCGACAATACCCCTGTAAGCAGGCCTAGTATTATTGATGATACTCCTGCAAGCAAGCCCAGTAGTAGGCCTGATATACTGCTCCAATCAAATACGTCGTCTGCATCTAATGATAGTGATGAAAAATTTTGTCTAAGGGAACTTCTATCTTCAGTAGCAGAAAGCACTGCTTCTGTTCCCCCACCTATTTCTCCTAGTCAAAACAGTTTGCAGCTAGATAAAGCAACTATTTTGCAAAGTCCAGCTATTGAAAAGCCAGCTGCTGCGCAACGTTCTCCTGCTTTTGATGATGTCATACATGTTATAAGGCACAGCAGTTTCCGGGTCGGGAGTGAGCAGCCGGTACTGGAAACTGTAGAGATGGGAGTTCAAAATGTAGATGTTGGGAAGCTCATAAATGTGGTGAGGGATGAATTGGAAATGAGGAACATGACCTCCCCAGTGGCCCTGAAATCATCTAGTAGCTCTGACGCTGTTAGTTTGAAATCAAGTTTTTCGGATCATTTAAGTAACAAGGAAATGGATGTAAGAAATCCCACTTTAGTTCCAATATATAATTCTTCTGAGCAAACAAAACCAAATTCCCCCACAATGCAAGACGAAACACCAGCAAAGGAAATCTTAGATGTTAAGTCTTTCAGGCAGAGGGCAGAGGCACTTGAAGGGCTTTTAGAACTATCAGCGGAGCTGCTGCAGCAAAATAGATTGGAAGAGCTTGCAGTTGTTCTGAAGCCTTTTGGTAAAGACAAGGTCTCCCCAAGGGAGACAGCTATCTGGTTAGCAAAGAGTCTTAAAGGAATGATGATTGAGGAATGTGGACGGAGTTCATGAAACATCATGTCTGGCAGTAAGCTTGTTTTTATTTTTAGTTAATTGATATTGTAATAGTAATTCTTAGTTTTTTGTCATGCTTTTGCATATTCAAGTTCCATTTGAATTGTTAAACGGAACAATCGCATCTGTTCTTTGTCGTCTTCTCATTTTGTAGTTCTTTTAGTGCATTTTGTTGTACATAGTGGCAATACAGATTACATGATCTTGTCTTTGAGCCAAATGTATTGATATGAAGTAGTATGTGGTGTATGTAAGTTTCAGTGAAATTGTTAATAAGGTGTCTCTACGGTTGTTCTTGGCTGATTTAAATTAGATAATCTCTGGAGAAATAAAGATAGATTGCATGGCTACAGCGGGAATTTACCTTCAGTTTAGGATGAGTTGAAGGCAGATACATTCTCTTAGCCCTTTATCCAAGAGCTTAAGCAGTTATAATTTTCTAATGAATTTTGGTCTTTTTTTTTTGTGTGCGCTCTTCTCAGTTTTTGAATTATGAAAGGTTTGTAAAAAGTATATAAAAGGCCGGGGGTTCTTCTTTGATATAGTTGAAGACAGTGAATATAGCAGTATCTTTGCATCTAAAAGTTGGGAGGTAGATAACATGGTATTGCTTATCTCAGTTATGAACAAGTTACTTGATCAAAAATTGAAATTAAGTTATCTGAATAGAATGTCTATGCTTTGCTTCTCTGTGTATATGGATTGCTCTAACTACTATTGTTTTCTTTTTATTAAATTTTTGTTTGGGTAAACATGGGGATAGTCAAGTACAATTTCCTTGGAAGAAAAAAAAATAGAGTCTAAAGTAGTACTTCATGAAATCGACAAATGACAGTCTTTTGAGATGTTTTATGAGATAAATAAGTTCAACTTAAAGTTTTAGGTCGCTTGTGTACCATCAGTTGTTCTTAGACATGAACGTGGTCTGCAGATACTCATTTTATTAAAAGGTATAATAGCTATTGCGTATTTTTACATCCTCAAGGTGTCAATTTCTATCTTTGAATCTGAATAAATATTTTGTATGTGAAAATATGTCCTGGATCAGTAGCAGATTCGAAAACAATCATCTTATCACTTTAAATATATTGCGTTGATGCATATATTAGTATGTTCCCAGGGTTATAACCATAATTAGTGTGTATTCTCTGAATTGCGAATGTTGGAATAGTTTTTGATAACTACAGCCCTGTCACTCAACAGTGAAACGAATATTAATTATCATTGAAATTGGGTAGTCAGCAATATTGTTATTTGGCATATTGAAAAGTTTGTTAACCAAGATTCTTTTGCCTTTTGAGCATGCATGATGTAAAAGCCACAATACCCATGAAACGTGGCACTTTGCAGTTACAAACAAAGCCTAAAGGAAGGCTGAAAAGGGGGTACATGTTACGCGTTTATTTTTCCTTTCCAGTAGCTACAATACATCTTTCCTGGCTTCTAAGAATTGCTTTTAGTCAATGTATTCCTTGATTCTATATATAAAGTATAGAGACAATTCCATTAACATCCAAACAGAACTTCTACGCGGTTTCCAATCTCCATTTAAATTCCTCTCTCTCCCCTTTTTCTACCTTCTTTTCCATACCCCATAACAGGCAATCTGTTGTCTCTCTGGCATCCAAGAAAATAAACTAACAGAAGCAGTCTCTTATGTCGAATCCAATCACAACCGGAGTTCTCTTGCGTTCAGCGATGATGATTCTACGGTTTTGTTCTTTGTATTGATTATCGTTGTTATCTCCATTGCCGGTTGATTTTGCATCCCATTCGTCCAGTTTTCACTCTCTATTCACTCACCATATCAAACTTCACTCTCTTAACTCTCGAGTAAACGCAGATTATGATTTAGAAATCTCTTTAAAGAACCCCAAAGAAGGTGGCCTTGAGCATCGATCATTTCCATGTTTCCGTGTCATATCAAGGTAAACAAATTCTCTCTCTTCAAACCAATGATTGCGCTCGTGGCGTTAGACAAACTAGTAAGTAATTTAAGTACACAGTTACGTCCCAGAGATTCTTTGGGTTACTTGGTGGACAAAGAGTTGTTCAATTTTTGAGCAAGAGTTTGAGCAAAAGATTGTTGAATTTGACAGTAGAAGTTAAGATTAGAACAAATTCATATCTAAGATTTGGCCAACAAAGGAAACTCGCATGAAGGTTTCATGCAACAACTAAATGTCGAATTCGAGCTGCAAAAGGATCAGTCCCTGGAACAGGGAAGCTCAATGGTGGAGGAGAGCAATGCAGAGTTGACTTTTTTAGCCATTAATTTTTGCTCTATTGAGGCACATATTCTATTCTTGTGCCAATTTTTAAACAGTGGACTCAGTGGGTTTGGATTTTTTTTTGTTATTCCCCTGATTTCTCTAAATTGTGGTTTGGGGTGTTGTGATATATTCAAATAAACATTGATTTTTATCTCTATTTCTATGTAAGTAAAATAATTTGTAATTATACGGTTGAAAAGAGAATTAAAAGATTGTGGAAGTCTAATGATATTCTTGTTACCATGAAATGACCCTTAAAATGTTTTACCTTGTGAAATTGTAATAAGCTTTTAATAAAATGTCATTATTGGACGGTGATTGAATGTTGGAGAATATTTCCATCCCAAAATGGAGGAATTTTCACATAGATGACTTGATTACAAAAAATAGGTTATTATCATAGAGGAAACTTTTTTTTAAACTAAAGAAAAGGACATAAGTGTCATTTGCATCAACAAGCCAACATTTTTTTCTTTTTAAGAACACTTTTTATTAGAGTTAATAACATTAATCCTCTTCAAATGTTACATAATAACAAAAATTCCCTTGAAGTTTCCAAAAAAAAAAAAAAAAAAAAAAATCTCCTTTATAATTAATTGTAGTGAGCCTAAAAATTTATACTGTTATAAAGTTAATAAATATTATCAAATTGTCCTCTTATCGTTGATTATCAAATTTTTGTTATTTTTGAAATGTCATGAGATTAATGTTATTAACTCTTTTTATTAATGAACAAATACTTTATGGCATTTATTAACAATAAATGAACACATTTTTTATTTAAGTTTCTTTTAATTAATGAAAAGTGTCAATTGAGTGATAAAATGAAAATGTATCCTTTTTCAACATAAAATAATATCTTGCATGAATAACTGAATTAAAAAAGTCAAACCCTGAACAGTCAAAATGGAGATTGAGGGAGTATACATAGCCAAGATTTTTAGTAAGTGGTTTAAAATATTTAAATTGATAAATTTACAATAAAATATATAGTAAAACATCTCTATAGTGATACTCTATATAGGAATAAACTCTATATAGTCATAAAAAATTCTAATCCCAATTTGAGATAGTTATAAATAAGAATAAACTCTACATTGTAATAAGTTATAATTTTTCTAATTCTCACTTTAAGGAAAATTGTCTCTACATAGTAATAATTATCTATATATTATAAAAAAAAATATGTTACGTAAAATTAAAGGTTTAAAATGAAATAAAATATTTATTTAAAATTGTTTGAGACAATAATTTATGTTTTAGAGTTGTTATCACATATTTTACCTTACGAGTACGTAATAGCTCGTTAGCATGGATACCTTCTTGTTAAAGCCAAAATATTTTTAATTTCTCAAACATGTTTAGAGCTTCATGACACAAGACTTTTTGTATTTTCGTACTATTATCCTTAGGATTATTTCTTTTCTTTTCTTGTCTAATTGCAACAATGATTTCTCCTTTGGTTAAAGTATATACGATTTGTTGCTTATTTGGATAATCGAAGAAGACATTAATATCCATTGGATTAGTGTAGTGAATTTGTCGAATCTGATCACTCAATTCTATAGTGACTCTTTTATTCTCCTTATCAACTTCATTTGTAACTTACAATTCATTGACATTAGTGGTCCTAATTTTGCAGCGCTTAAAACCATTGACAATTGTCTGTGGCTTCACACCAATTGACCATGTATCAACTGTATTTACAATTTTATCAATGACACTTATTTTTTCTGGTTTTAAGAAACGTTATTTTATCTGTTTCAAAAGTAGGTAATTGAAACGTTGTATTGAAATCCTAATATTACAAAAATATCAATTGAAATCCTAATACTGTACTACTAAAATATGAATTATAAAATCAAAAATCAAAACTATAATTTTTGTAACTACACCTCCATTAAGTTATAACCTTTGTATAGTAATAAAATTAGTTAGTCCCAATATTATGACTATAGAAAGGTTTTACTGTATATTAAAGTCTCAAATCTTATAACCTAGGCTTTTCAAAATCTAGGAATTTAATTTTCCAATTTTAAAACCATTTTATTAAACTCAATAAAAACATATTCATGATCTTTTATCAATTAAGAGAGCAGGAAAAAAAAAAAAAAAAAAAAAGAGCCCCAAATCTTATAACTTAGATTTTTCAAAAAAAATTACACTAATCCAATAAAATTCAACTCATAAACCAATGAAAACTTATCAAATCCAACTCTAAATATCAAACAATTAACCAATTATCAAAATTAAACAAAACCCTCAAATCTTTATGACTTAAGGTTTCATCAATTCTTTAAACCAATTCAAAATTAACTTAATAATTAACCAAAATTTGTCAAACCCAATTTAAAATAACAATTAATTAACCCATATCTCAACATAAATAAGATTAAATCAAAACTGACACCAAAATTTAGGAATTTAATCTTCCAATTTCAAACTCATTTATTAAACTCAACAAAATCTCATAATTAACGATTTTTCATCAATCAAGAAAGTTAAAGGAAAAGATTTTTAAGCAAAAAAAGAAAAAAAAATTTACACCATCTTATCTTGTAACCTCCAAAGGAGTAGTCTTTCTTGAGAATCTAATCAAAGAAGAAGAAAGTATGAGAGAGAACGAGAGGAAATGAAAAAGAGAAAAAGTAAAAAAGTGTTAATTAATTCAAATTTTTGTGGAGTCAAAATTTAAATTTCATAATGTATAAGGACTAATTTAATTTATTTTCAAAAATTGAGTGGTTCAATTGAATCCACAATTGTGTATGTGGCTACGTGCATTGGAAGTAGATACGTATAAATATAGAATAATATTACACATATAATATTTTAATATAATATTTTTTATATAATATTATGTGATAAAAAATGATTGAGTGAAAATTTAATTTTAATTTAAAATCAACTAATCATATTTTGACATGTGATATTTTATGAAAAAAAGTATTACTCATAAATATAATTCTTTGACTTGTCCGTAAGTGTTTTGTAACCACAAACAATCACTTTTAACAAGAGAGATCTAGAAGGAAAGGAAGCAGGAAAGAAGAAGAGTAAGATTGAACTATTTTTCTGCTTTCTAGAAAGAAAT